GGTTTATCGTTGTCTTATTTATGGTATGGTTCGCTGTCCTCATCACCTTCCGACTCAGCCACCGCCGTTATAAGATCCTCTTCCTCAGTCTCAAGATTCGGAGGAGTCTCACTCCGAACCTGTTGGACGAGCTGTAGGTTGCCCTCGGCCTGAGCAAGGTCGAAACTCCTTTCTCTAGCCCGCTCAACGACATCGAATTGCCTCTCAATACAAGTAAAAGTCTCTTGGAACTTGGTTTTCAACTCGCATCTCGCCTTGTGAACGGCATGCTGCACATTCGCCTCTTGCTTTTCCAATGCCCTTAGCTTGGCAAAACAGTCTTCTAGCCTGTGGAAGCGACGAGTGTTGGAGGCAGTCAAATCCTCGTTGTCTTTCTGCATCCTGCAAAGTTAATCGCGGAGTTGGTTCACCTCAGACTCCAGGTCGGTAGATCGCTTCCTCGCCACGCTCGCATGCCTTTGTACTTCTCGGTATCTCGCTGCGCGTCCTCGAGCTGGCGCCTATTGGCCTTAGACTCCGCCTCGTAATCCAAAGTCATCTTGTTGAGGTGGGAGATGAACTACATATGACAAAGGAATGCAATGTTAAAAGTCCATAAGGAAAATGAAAAGACTTGTTCTAGAAATCGAGTAGGAGGAAGGGTGCGACATACCTGGACTCCATGACGAGCCATCTCGGCGTAGCTCCCTTCACCCTGGAGAGTATCAGGTGGAGGGAAGCGAGTACCGGGAAGAGTGATCTTAGGAAGCATGGATGCAGCAGTCCAGTCAGTGTCAGTTGCAACCATTCCACGATCACTAAAGGAACGTCTTGGTTGCTTCGGAGCCCTCCCATCAAAACGAGGCTCTCTTCTGCTATCCGTTCCACGCTTGCGGCTCCCATCTCTGTGACTTGTTTCTTCATGACGAATCACTGAGGAGGTGGACGGGCGAAGCGCCAGAGTCGACCCATATCGGTCCAGGGCTGCGAACCGAGCCTGAATGACTAGAAGACTGGTCAGCGGTAGAGTCATCCAGAACCGGTATGGCCGACTCGATGTATGTGCTAGCCGCGGTGTCTGGCTCAACCTCGGTGTGCGTATCCACCTTTGTAAGCTGCTCTGCCTCGGTATCTCGCTCCGCCTCGGCAGCCTTCTTCTTGGCTAAGGCTCTCTTGTCACGGAGGGTAGGCCTGGGAGACATGAATGCACTAGAATCGGTGTGGTACGAAGACGGAGATGAACCCGGAAGAGTGGAACCGGCGCGCCGAGCACTAGCTCTCTCAACTCTGCAAAGGGAGAAGTGCTTCCTCCAATGACAGCTCCGAGCAACAAAGGCTTCGTGAAGTCTGTTCGTGTCCTTCGGGAACTTCAAGAAGCGCCTCGGAGCTGCAAAACATACAAAAAATACAAAGGCATTAGAAATCACCACCAAGAAGAAGCTAAGTAACACAAGTCTAAAAAGCTATGAGAACCGCTACCGCGAGTTTCCCACTCAGTCAAGATTCTATCAAGCCAGTTAGGACCAACGGAAGCCTCGTTTATCTTCACAAAGAAGAACTTCTCAAACCAAAAGTTATCTTTACTATGGAAGCCTTTGATGATCTGATAAAAGGCTTTGCCCGCCGTAAAATAGTTGATCTTAGCTTTTTTACCAATCTTCCGGATCTCAAGAAGATTCATCAAGAGAGCAGTAATATTACGGTGGCACTCATAGCTGAGCACCAAGATTCCAATCAGATGGCGGAGTCCGCGAGGGGTGATTTGAGCCAAAGCAGTGCGGTACTTCCACACATACTCAAGCAAAACCTCCAGAAGAGGAAACCAAAGGAAGCACAAGTAGAAATAAGCCTCGTACACGGTGAAGTAACCTTCCGGGGGAGCGTCAGCCCGCTTCGACGAGGTAGGAATAGCAAACTTGAAATCTCTGGAAATTTTAAACCGGGCTCGAATGTCTCGCAGGGATTGATGAGACGAGAGGGTAGAACCTGGCGGGTCTGGCCTCACTCGCGATTTCTCTTAGGAATGCGCACAATTGGAGCATCGTCCTCGGCCTCTCCCTCGTCCTCCTGCTCATACTTGATGGTTCCGGCGTCATCACGCATCTCTTCAATCGAAACTCTTGGTGATATCGGGTGTGTCTCTGATGTGCAGGGTTTTAATGAATCAGTACGAGTTTTAAATTTATAACCCTAGGAAACTGCAAGTGCACAGTAAAGACAATTGTAGTACTTAGGGGTCGTGGACTAAGTGATGAAAGCACTACAAACATATATGATTCCAATTAAGCTAAGTGAACATATTATTTGGTTTTTGGGGTTTTTAATGAAACAAATAACAACCAATAAAGTAAAGGGATATATATAAATTAAGATGAGAAATCAAGCAATTCCCAAAGCATATGCAAACATAAGAAGTCGATTTAGGATTTTAATACTAGTTGTTCTAAAACTCATATCACTAATGTAAGGTCATCCCACTGTCGTGACGTAACTAACCTTCTACGTTTTCTACCCTAATAAACTCAATTATCGCATGTTATTACAAGGTGAAAACATGCTTTATGATCAAGATTGATTGTTCACTAGACTCCTTAACTAACCTATCAAATTGTTAAGATGCCTAGC